ATTATTTATTTTATATTTATCATAAAATTCATCTATAATATGTTTTGATTATATTTTTAGATTTATAGATAGTTAACCCTTGTAATAATTATAAGGTAGCTATGCGACGTTGTCGCACTAAAACCAGGAACGTAGATCTTGAACAATTAGTATGGTATAAAGTTTTTTGATCAAACATCAATCTAAAAAAAAATGAAAAAATCATTCGTGCATACTATTATGAAACGGAATAATATTATTACGTTATAATTTACCAATTTGATTTTGATTGTAAACTCGATAATATAATTAAAATCATAGAAATCATAGACAATTAAAATTTTAAGGTTGATAATACGTAATTGTTAATATAATTAATTTTAACACAATGCACTAAGTAAACTTGTTTAATGCCAAAAAATACATATAATTATATTCAGACTCAGACCAGTCTGCAGACTTCGGACCAGACCCAGACCGAACTCATAGTTGAATCTGAGTCTGGTCTGAAGTCTGAAATTAGTAAAATTTGGAGTCTGAGTCTGGTCTGATCCCAGATCGGACCTGGACCAGACCAGACCCAGACCAGACCTAGGAGCACTACAATCGACATTATTGTTATCTATTATAAATTTAGCTAAAACAAATAAACTATTTATATAGCAAGGTGACATTGTAGAACCAAATATTTCCAAACTAATTTTGCATCTTCCAAATTGGTTCATTTTAATATTAATTATTATCGAATTATCAGGTCTGTCTTCAAATGGCCTCCAAAAATTATATATCTCATATGTGGCTATATAATATTTAACCATAAGATCAATCATTTTATTTGACATTATAATATTAATGTATGAAGGTCCTAGTAATTTACCTGGAAATGCTTCACATCCAGTAATTAAAGATTCTTTAATGTTTTGTAAATATAGCAAATATCTATATATTTCAGCAGATGTAAATGTATCATTCTCTGAAAGTGATCTGACTGAAGGTCTTTTATTAAGAAATTCAAGATCTTTTACTTCCAAAAGCCTATAATATCTTTAATTCGATTGTTATTCATAAGCTGATGCATAAGCTCTGTTTCAATTTGCCGATAGCTATTTGGCAAAGAACCTGAGAAAATAAATAAAATTTTATTTTTATTTTTTTTTTAATGTTAAGGTGACCACTTGGGGATCTGGCACGTTTTATTAACTTTGGTTGCGAATGTCAGGGCAGCCACAAGACCACCTCTGACTTTGTTACATTAACGAGGATACAAACTAGTCATATCTGCGCTTTTTGAGCGCCTAATTAAGTAGTTCTCTATTACTAAGTACTATACTAGATGTCATACCTATAACCCACTATTACTTGAGTTACCCAATTAAACCCTCTGATCAACTTAGCACCGTCGGATATTCTCCCCAAAGAGGAACTGCCGCTAAGGCCCCTTAGGACTAATTTATCCTTGTGGTAAACCTACTAGAGCGG